TACTATATAAATGTATTGTGAAATGTGAAGTTTCAACTCCATTCGTTTACGTTAGCCTGTAATTAACAACGTGTAGTTAATAATAGATGCAAATTTAGAATTTTTAAACTATTTAAAAGCGCGTTTTATTGGTTTTTAAAAGAATACTTACATTACTCTTGTAATGTTTACAGCAATTATGTTTACATATTTTTTTCCTAACAAAATAAAATATCTCTGATTTGTGCAATTAAAATTTAACATTTCCTGAAACTGCCATGTAGGTACAATATAAAATCACTTCTTATATTCAAAGAGGTAGAATCTGTTTTAGATATTTAATATTAGCTGCCGTATTTTCAAGATGCAATATTTTGCAAGCGGATCTTCCTTTGTTTCTCTTTTCGTCTTATTCTTTTTCTAACTTCTAGATAAAGTGGTTTTGCAAATCCCGCGAAAGAAATTAATTCGTTGCCTTATATTCATTTAGTCCAGTCATATGAATTCCACAATAAATATTTATAATATAACATTGGAAAAATTGAAAAATAATCTTCAAATTATATTTATATTACTATTTTTATATTGTCTAAAGATTAAAAATATATTTAATCATTGTTTAGTACTAAGTGAAGTGCTTTAAGCTACATTAAGTTCTTTCGCAGTTAAAGCTCCCACCGTTGTGTTCGTAATTTTACGTAATCCCCAGCGAGTTGTATAATCCCTAATTTATTCGGTTGAAATGACAACACAACGAAAAACACCCTCGAATTCTGCCGGCGAAATTTCGACCGTTCCCCTGTTCGCGAATCCCCAAATTGTAAACGTCGCCTTATTCGAGACGTTTTATACTATTGTTGGGGAATTCAGAACGACGTCGACGGCGAATAAAAAGCCGTACGTGCCGTCCCCTGTGGAATATGTTTGTCTCCTGATGCCTACGGCCGTCATTATCACGTTTTACAGCGTATACTTTTATTGCCCGTTCTATGAGTTCGCGTAACATAAGGAATATCGCGCCGTAAAAGCCCCGCAGCGCGGCCAAAATAAACCCCCCGCCCCCCGGCGCGTTGTTTTCGACGCCCCCTCATGAATAACACGAGTTTTATTAACATCTTCACTTTGTAATGTCTTCCCATTGTGGTCATAATACAACGTTTTATGTGTTGTTGTGCCGCAACGGAATTGGAGGTGAATTGCGTGGGCCCAGAGGACCGTTGAAATGTTACGTACGTTTTTCATCCTTTACGCTTGATGAGATTGTTCCGGAATGCTTTACGGCTGCCTGCGAAACTTGTATACCGGGATAATGGCTGATGTTACTGTGAGTATTTTGAAATTTGTGCTAGTAGATTGTATTGACAGTGAAATGCGTGAGTTTTGTTGATTATAAAGTGCCCGTTTTACTGAACAAATTAACACTAACATTTTCAAATATAACGTGGTTGATGATAAAACTCAGTTATATCCGATTTTTTATAATTCAGACTGTAATATGGTAACCTAACAGTCTTAGCTGTTGCATGAATGGGCAGATCCGTTCGAATAAGTACCACGATCTCACAGAAGACCGGCGTGAAGTCCATCCATCCATCCATCACATCCATCCTTACGTCTCGATCGTCGGTCGAGTCGCGTCGGAGTGCGGTCTTTTAATGTCAATGGACGGTGGTTTTCACTTAACATAAGCTGAACCGCAAGCTCGCTTGCCACCTTCTCACAAAAAAAAACTAAGCTAATCTGGCAGTGAACTTGCTGTCAACACAATTACATTTATAAGAATTGTTCAAACGATATCCAACGGAAAGATATTATAAAGGCAGGAACTAAGCGCCATTTCAGTTCGCATCCAGCGCCACCGTCCGTCAGAGTGCCGGTACCATAAGCAGCTATTCGAGATAGAATATCAAACGATGGAGTTTCCAGTTACCTGAGACCGGCTACGTAACCGCACACAAACGCTAACATATCAATCCCACAGGTGAATACTAGTTCCTCCAGCCGAGGTGCCGCATCGTGTCCAATATCGCAGTGACCTCTGAGGCGGCGTTTACAATGCAGCGGGCGCGTTCGGTTTACGACACGGCCACCCGCCTCCGCATACGAATGAGTGCCAGACACTTTCCCCGTTTTACCGCATCGTCTCGGGCGGACCGGTGATATTACGTCGTTAAGCGTTAACGATATCCGAATAGGAATAACCCGTGTGCCTTGACTGTGACGCGACCGGGCCAGCCGCCCTTTACTCGGACCTGATGATTTTCTTTTATGTGACAAAGTGGCAAACGAGCTGGCGGTTCACCCGATGTTAAGTGATAACCGCCGCCCATGGTTATATTAAACACCCATAGGGTTGCAGATGTGTTGCCACCTTTTAATAAAGTGGGCCCCGGCTACCTCACTCACCAGGCGAAACGCAGGAGTGAAACACCTTCTACTTTGTGTCCTGTAACTGTCTTCTGTGAGGTCGTGGTACTAACCCGGATGGAGCATTCGTGCAACAGCGAACACTGTTGCGTGACCCTACCACAGATAATATATTATTAGTACCCGGAGGACCGAGCTTTGCTCGGTTTGTTTTTTTTTTTTTGGTAAATCGTGTATTTTGGAAATTACATTTAGATACAAATTACTGAGTAATGAAATATGCATAATATTTTTCGATCTTACCGACGTAATAATAAGAAAATATGAACTGATGTTTTTCACAAAAGAAAGAACTTTAAAAAAAAGGGAAAAAAATAACACAACACAATAAATAAAGAAAGCAATGATCTGGAATCGAAAAAAAAAAAGGAAAAAAATAAATGTATAAATGATCGTGACGCGAACCACGGCCGTCTGTTTTGGGGCCGCCCGATTACCGACCGAGCTATTTTGACATTTTCTCTTGCGGCGAAATTTACCGTCATATTCGAATTATATTTTTCATTCCCTGAAAACAGGGATAAAAGGACATTTTCTAAAAATGAAACCTAGCTAGATCGATTTTTCGCCCCCGAATCTATGCACATACTAAATTTCATGAAAATCGCTGGAGCCGTTTCCGAGATTCTTGTATATATATATATATATATATTTGAGAATTGCTCGTTTAAAGGATAAGATTATGATCGTTGATGACTCCATTATACATTGCCTTTGTTTTATGATTGAAACAAGCGCTGTATGTTAGATACATGTCTGTCTATAGTGACGTTGATAAAGCGGTCGCTTTTTACTCGGACCGAGTGCGTAGCGTGACCCCTGACGACCTTTGATAACTCCATTATACATTGATGTTTAATGATTCAAACTAACGCCGACTGTTAGATAAATGTCTATAGTGATGTTGATAGAACACATTTCAATAATAATAATGATGAATTATGTATAGTACTTATAAGATTTTAAAGGGAGCCGTGATAGCTCTGTGTCCGGACGTTCGATTTTGAATTTTTTTTGTGAAAATATGAAAAGTGTCCAAGCGAGAAGACGGTTCACCTGATGTTAAGTGAATACCGCCGCCCATGGACATCTGCTATACCCCCGGGTATAGCAGATGTTACAGATGCGTTGATAAACTTTTGAAAGTTGGGCTCCGGCCACCTCACTCACCAGGCGAAACGCGAAAGTATTATACTTCCACTTTACGCCGGTCTTCTGAGAGGTCGTGGTGCGTGGCCCTATGACCGTGAAATAATAAATGAACAATACACTCGATTCACTTTAGTTCGGATTCAGTTAAAAGCATCGATATAATTGATAATTCTAATCAGAAGTGCTGATTTATCGGTGAAGGGGTGAAGGAAAAAATCGTGGGAATATCATGGTCAATGGTCAAATACCAATAAAAAAAAATGTTGATAGGTGAGGTCTGCCAATTCGCGGGGGTATCGCAAGGTGTTCTTTTGCCAGCGTAGGCCTGCCCTGTACAGAAGTTTAACTTCTTTACAGATTTCATTTCCCTGTAAAATGACAATAAACGGGAATAAAAAGTAGATCCGTTGTTAAATGTAGCTTTTTTTACGGAATTTATAGTATTAAATTTTGTTTTTATTTAGCGACGATAGAATCTGTTATAATTTTCATATTGCAATATTTTTGTAAATACAAGAAATAGATATAGCAGTCTGCTTCTAATAGAATGAATATTTATCGTTTTATGGATTGGAATTGAATTGAAATACATATAATAAAGAATTCATCTACTGCGTTATGTACTAGTAGACTGCGTTATGTAGACACCGTAAAGAAATGGAACACTTCTTTGATGTTTTACTTTTTTTCTTTTTATATTCAATTGCCTTATATTATTATGGTCCAGCTGCTAGATGGTTTTGATGCGTGCGGCTGACGTTTAAAGTCGTGATCATTATCTAACACATTAGCCCTGACGCAACGGTGTCTGTTCGCGTCATGTAATTCGAGAAGCGCGCGTGAAAATGGAGGCTTTGCTGGTGCGTCGTATGTGTGAAAATGTAAATTTATATGTGTGAAATATTTGCATAATTCTTAACGGTATATGACCGCTCGTTTGTGAGAAGTGAGTTCTTGGCAATAGTTGTTGGTCAGTTGGACTTGGAATTTCAAGTCTGGACATTCTATTTCATTTTATACTCTTTTAGGGTCAGATTTCGAAATTCAGATACCGTTTTAAGTATGGTTAGTACAGTCTACCTTGCAATGGATAAACGCACCGGCTTTTGCTTGAGTGGTCAGTTTGACTGGTACTCCCCATATATAAGACCTTTTTTACATCTCAACTTACATTTCTACAGTTAGTTTTCGTAATTAAACAACTTTTTCATTGGCATTGTCCATTCTGTTCCGGAACGGAAACCTGATTAAAGATCTTTACTGCGAGCTTAATAACATCACCGGTGAGAAGATCACCATTATAACCAGTCTTCGAGTACTGGCAAGTTACAAATAGCGAAAAAAAAAAAAAAGTTAAGATCAAAATGACTCAAAAATTGATAGGTTTTAACGAGCCCTCGACACGCGCCGATCGGAAAGCGCGCCCGTTTCGCGCCTAATTAGTCGCCGATTAATTGGCGCGATGTCTCGCGGACGCCGGGGCCCGCCGTTTCAATGAAGCGCCGCTGACAATAATGGAGGCGTGACGTCACGGCCCCGCTCGGCGGTGAATTGCAGCGCTCGCCTAAAACCGGGTAATTGGTCCGCGCGCTCGGTACGATCCGTGTTCGGTACGCTTTGTGCCGTGTCAGAAATCATGTGCTTTGTTGGTTTTTTTATCGGTACGCAATAAATCCTGTTTAGGCCTGGCATTTTGTAAATTTTTAATTCGTCATTCTCTGCTGATTACGCAGAACCTTAGACATCGTTCAAAACTAAATGGCAGAAAGCAAAATTAACACGCTTTTATGTCTTTCACTCGGTGTGTTCATTTGCTGTTTTGTTTGCCAGTCGATAATAGTATTGATGAGTTATTTGAAGACTGGTGAGAAAATCATGTAAAAACGACATCACTTTTCTATTTACTTTTTGCATTATCTTTTCGATGTTCTTCTCCGCTAGTATCGTAAAGGGCGAACTTTGATGCAATTTTACAAGCACTTCCTGGAGTCTAAGGTGTTGTATGCATTGCGTTAATAAATACGCAGAGCTTATCATTTCGAAAGCTGACATCTATGCACTCCTTTCCTACAATTTTATTTCATATATCTTAGGAATCTCCCTCGATGTAGCTATCTACACCTATAAGACTATTTAGGACTTTTAATTGAGATTCTTTCCTAAAAACACCTACTACCTAGCATAAAGAAGCTATTTCTGGTCTAAATTCGCGCGTGCGCCAGCGTATCGAATTCGTGTCGCTTCGAAAACGCTTTGTTTGCATGCTAATTGCGCGTACGTGCAACGAATTCTATGTACGCTGTAACAAATTCGTCAGTCATATTGTTTGACAAAATTAGTGCCGCGTCGTCTATTTTTTCCCGTTCCGCCGGCAATGTTTAATTACTTTGCTTGTTTCGATTTTAGGTAAAGGTGTTTTGATGTTTTTTTTTGTTTGTGTTTGTAAATCTCGTTTCGTCGTTTTTATGACATATGTAGTTTTTAGCAGACTTCTGTTAAAGTATTTGGGGATCTTCAGCTTAAAACTTAACTACTATTTTTGGTAATTTAATACCCCGCTAAAAATTTACCAATAAAGCACCATGTTTACAGTTGATGTTGCCGTAGATAATGTAAGAATGTAACAAACAAGTAAATTTTTGTTAAAAAAATACAAAACAGACTTCAATTATTTCGCTCACGTACACATGTAATAGACACCGAATTGAAAATGTCCTTCCATAAATATTTATTGATAATTTTTTAAAAACCGCTCGACCGATTTCGATAAAATTTAAAAGGTACCAACCACCTAAGGAAGAGTATACCCCTTTGGAACAAAAAAAATTCCAAATCGGTTCATCTTCGAGTAAACGATTAAAATACATAAAAAAAAGATTCCGATGAATTGAGAACCTCAGCCTTTCATGAAGTCTGTTAGGAAAAAAGACTTGGAATAAGACCGCAGAGTTTCTTGCTGCTTCTTCTCTAGACAGGTGTGAATTAGTGAACCAGTGGTAGTTTTTTAGACGTTCAAAAAGAGCTAAAAAGAATAAGGAAATCTTGACTTTAATTTTGACTTTGAATGAGCTTATACGCATGTAGCAATGGACTCGCCTACTTCCACACCCTCGCCCGAATTCATCTTTCCACAATATAACATCTCAACTAATCCAGTGGACCGCGCTCACTCTCAACCCAATTAAGTCGGGCCGCCGTTTCCCTTCATTCGATTACCGCCAGACGTCTCACGGGTAGTCGGTTGTCGTTGCCCCAAGCCTCGTATTTAACCCACCGTCGTAATCTTCACGAATTAGTGCCACATATCTCGTTGCGTCTCTCTCTCTCACCCTCAGCAATGTTTCGTCGTGAGTCTGCTCGCTATTGTTATTGTGCGTGTTTCTTATTGGGAAAAATTGGACGCCGTTTTTAACCGACTACAAAAGAAGTAGGTTTCTCAATTCGACAGTATATATTTTTTTATGTGTGTTCGCGGATAACTTCGTCGTTTATGAACCGATTTTAAAGATCCTTTTTTTTGTCGGAAAGGTCATATCTCAAGGGTGGTAACATGATAAGGAAACACGGATCTGATGATGGCATCCTAGAGAAATCGAGGGCCTACATCGAATGTTATATGTAATGTTACATATACCTATAATTAACAATGTTTTTAATTTTCCAATTGAAGTAGGTTTTTTTCTCTTAAAAATGATTATTTTATATGAAAAAGTTGAAACCTTTAAAAAAAGACAAAACCTTTAGTTTAGCATGTGGTTCACCCGATTCTAATAGGTAACCGCCCCCATAGACATTTGCAACACCCGTTGCCGATGCCCATTTAGAATTTGCTGCAACAAGACGGAACCGTATTATAACTCTTCCACTTCACGCCGGTGGTACTTCCCCCGCCCATTCGTGCGCTAATAGCCCTTCACAAATTGTTAATTTAATAAATTGGCTACCTATGAAAGTTCTGTACAGCTACCCACACAGTGTACAAACAAAAAACAAAATTTACCCTTACATATATAAAATTTAAACACAGACCGCATTGCATAGAGCCCAACTCGCTGAACTTACAAACAGAAACGTTCCACACGGATTTATGCAAGTACCCCGTTCACATCCCACAGCACGCCGACATCCATCCGGGCGTTAATTAATCCTGGCGCGAACTTTATTTTAGGGTTCCGTACTCAAAGGGTAAAACGGGACCCTATTACTAAGACTCCGCTATCTTTGTGTCTGTCTGTCTGTCACCAAGCTGTATCTCATGAACTGCGATTGTTAGACAGTTGATTTTTTACAGATAAAAAAACACAATAAAAAAAATTAAGTGGGGCTCCTATACAACAGACAATATTTTTTGCCGTTTTATAGACAACGGTACGGAGCCGTTGGAGCAGTGCGCGAGTCCGACTCGCACTTGGCCGGTTTTTTTTCCTCTCAAATTGTCCCGTCAACATTGCGCCGTTTCAACATAATTAACGGGGGCCCCGATACGGTGTCGGGTGCAGGGGCACAACGCGGTGTATTGACTCGCCGGTGCGCCGTGGCATTTGGCTCTTTTAATTAATAGTGCGTAATAAAGCCCGCAATGTGGAGCGGGAATCGCACCGTTAACGCGTGCACGGGAATATTTTATGTTAGTTGCCTTGTCTCGCGGAAAATTGAATTATAACGTCGCTTAATGTCGACGGGGTTTATTAAAAGGCCCCCCTCCTCCACCCCTTTCGGAGTAAGCGACCCGCTTTCGGAGCGCTCCGCTCGCGTGCGATAATAGTATTTATTCGCGGCTTATACATGTATTATTAACATCGCCAATTACATAATTTTCGAATTCCATACATGCTTCATACACAATAACAATCTACTTCGCATACACGAAGTCTACAAGTAGTACAGTAACTAGACTTCGGATAACTAGTTATGAAAGAATTTCTATCTGTTCCTAGTAAGTTTTAAAGGGTACTAAAGAATTTTCTGCGCCACCAGTGCAGTCAGAGATTTCTTCGTATTATTTAAAAGAAATATCAATCCGGACGACCAGACGAGCACCTTAAGATAACCGCTCTCCATTACCCGCGGGATAAAGTATCCCATTTCCCTATTTATGCCAGCCCCTATAACACATCGAGGAAAACGGCCTCGCACAAGCGGCCCCCGTGCACGGAGCACTCGACTCTGCTCAGTGGGGTGGCTTTTAATTTGTTAAATTGAAACGAAACATCGTATTGTTCGGATAAAATTGGGCTTATTTAGGCAACGCACTGGATCGTAACCGAATATCCTTTCGAAGTGAACGGAACAAATGATCCCACTTCTCGTTAGATAGATGCGATGCGAGCGTACCTAAGGGTACCACTCAAGCGCAACGCGTTTATATTTATTTACATCGGGAATTTTAAACAATAGAACAGCGGAAGTGTGTTAAGATACTGTTTATGGAATGCCTCTACATTAATTTCCTTCACATTCGCGAGTATGTTGATTCTTGATGAGATTGTCTAGTTGTTTATAACCATTATAATTTTATTAACAATAAAATTGTAATGATAATGAGGAAAACACATTTCTCAACGTGTATCGGACTTCAGTCTTTCGTCAGCTTCTGTGCCATAAGGAAGTTTGTGGCAATAGAGACCGTAACTATTTAGTTTAATGGTGCGAGTTAAGTAATCTCAAAAGGTCAGTGTCTATGAGTCGATTAAGTTAATGGTGCCCAGAATTACTCAAACTAGTGCAGGTCCCGTGATATTTGCTTCATGAAAGGTGAGTTGAGTTGAGTTTGAATGTATGTATGTTTAATGTAGGTTTAATTTGATTTATTCTTCACTGTGGGAGAGCCGTGACTTCAAGTTTGAATTTAGTATATATAAAAGTAGTAATAGTAGAACTATGGCTGAGTTCAGCTGGTTCCGCTTTTGTTAGATGGGGTACAATTTTGGTGCAATATAGAAGTTTACATACTTTTGGATCTCGTCTCTTTACTAACATTCGCAACCTAATGGGTGTTGTGTTTTTCCAAGGGGAGTTACAGTCACTAAAGATCAGGTGTATCGACTGTACATTTTAGACCTTCTCTCAAAAAATAATTCTACTTTTTTTTCATATCATTCTTCACACAAGCTTTATAGTCTCTGTCTCGTCTCAGGCTTCGTTTTTTAAAGCCGTTTAACTAAGATCGATGTTAGCTCTACAAAGTTTCAGTTGTGTGTTCACGTTGTTGCATAAGCTACTTCGCTCGTAGAACACATTCTAGCGATTACGCTGTAACGTTACACGTACTCGCGATCGCTGTCGTAGACAAAGGCGGGCGCATTGAGGATCCGTTGCTACAAGCCCCCCCGGCGCGTATGAGCTTAAGCGCTACGGCGTAGACGACGTGTTGCGAATGGCGGCTCAACGTGTCGTATAATTAGGGGGGCCAGATCTCAGCTGTCGATCGGAACGCTACATTTTAAAAAGAAATATTAAGAAACACTTCTGATATGCGTTATACAGTAGCCTCGAAGTTCGATTCATAGTATGTGACGGGGTAGTGGGGTCTAGCTGTTGACCAGGACAGTTGTTTTTTTTGGCAGCATCTGAAAAGTGAGAGTTTACCTGAGTCTGTAACCTTGGTATAAATCATATCTTGCAATAGAGTAACTTCGGGAGGTTTTGTGCAATTCTATTTCAAGTCAAGTCCAATTTAATGTAGTGAAAGTTTCCCTTGCTTATAAGCCGGCGGGCGGTCTCCCTTTAGAAGCCTATCGATTCATGAAAATTTGCTTGTTCTTTCAGCTATAGAAGTAGTACCCATGAAGTATACATTTTCTTCTTAAAATCGGAACACGTCGAAGAATATGGGTGGCTAACTTCCTTTTCTCTAACAACACATTCTTATATACGATGAGGCTGATTTATTCATTAAAATTTGTTCTTCACCTACAGCAGTTTCATATGGTTTGTACTTAACTTTTTCAATTTACATAACATGTAAAAATGATATCATCAAAGGAACCCTCATTGAACGTCTAAATTAATTCGTATACGTTAATTAAATATTTATTATATAAAAAAACGAAAATAAATACTTTGATGAGCGTAATTTTGCTTCTATGAAATTATTTGTATAAAAATACAGTTAAAATATAAATTAATTTGTATAATAAGATTAAGTCGCTTTACATAGTCGATTTCTCTGCCGCGATTGGACATGCCATTAGATTTTTTTTCATTTTCACTGTTAGGTGTTATTCTTTATATTTAATTTTTTATGCAGGTATTAATTGTGGTTTTTTAATTTATTTTAAATATGACGTCTAATGCTTTAAATGTTTTATGGTTTAAATATCGTTTTAAATGCTTTATAATATTTAAAAAACTCTTTATTGTCACACTGTTGTAAATGTTGTACTCACAAGTTATATGTGTACATAATTAGTGTAATTTATTTTTCGTTTTTTCGTTTTTTGTAAATTGTTTAAATATGCATGTCGTTGTTGGGTCTATAATAATAAAAATAAAGTCGCGAAAGTAGGTGGAAAAACTTCGAAATCGTACGCGCTCCTCCGAGCATTGCGAAGCCGGGGCATGTCCCGCGAACAGCGCAACTGATGGCAACACTACGCAAAACAAACGACACCATACCTCGTTGCGATCCGGCTTTGCGTTAATGAATATTGGATTTTAAAAGTCGTTACAGAATAACGTCAGGCCGCTGTTGCGCTCGTGTAAACCTAGTTTCAATATTTAGAGTTTAAGCGCCGATATTGGTTTTAAACTTCGACGCAATCTTTTTTTATCCTTCTTGCGCTTTGCGGGAACACAATATTTGTGTTGGTTTTATGTTCGTTTTAACTTTACAGTTAATTTTTAACATTTTCGTTTCATAGCGGACCCCTCTACAAGGCTTAATTATAAATTATCTGAAAGACGCATTGTGCTAATTTTTATATATTTATTAAGACTTCATTGTTACACCTCAGGCTAAAGGCTACAGTGGGCTTAATGCCTAATGGCATTCTCTACCAGTCAGTACCTAGTTTATCTATTGTTAAGTAATTATTTACGAGTAGAGGTATAAGTAATTATTTACCTAGGTATAAGTAATTTTTTACGAGTAGAGTAATATAAGCTTCTTAGGTTATATATAAATAATTTTCGTTATTCGCCATTGACGTTGAATTCATAATGTTTTTATTCATTAAATTTCAGTTAGTGATAAACACGTACTACGCGAGAGCAAAGCGAGCATGTTTACGAAGCACGGTTAAGTTGGAAGTCGGACTGTTTATGTCGAAACATTAGTGTCGCCTACACTGGATGCTAGTACAAGCACGAATGTCGTTTGCCATTATATCTCGAATTCCCCGTTCCATTCTTCAAACGGAAGTTCATGAGAATTATTCTAAATGCGAAACGACAAAACATAAACGAAAACGAAAAGCGGTAAAAACTTTATTAACTTCTGCGGAAATTCGATGAACATAAATTCGTATCCCGAAACGCACCAACCAATTTTAGTTTTTACGTTTTATTCATGCCCATTGAGATATTAATTAAAAGCTTGTTGAATAGTAGTAACCTTTTATTTTTATTTTCCCTCGGTCTGTTTTTTAAAAGCGCGGCAATGATGGTTCTTTATAATTAGTCACTCGGTGCACAATATTTAAAGTCTAGCGAAAATATATTTTCACTTCTTTAAATCTCGTTGAATAAAAAGATACTAAGGGTGGACTGAGAGTTTTAGTAGGATTTTTATTAGTGAGAGAAAAGTTTTATTAGCTTTTGGTCATACAAAAAATCCAAAAAGTGTTTTTCGCAGAGCGAAAAAATAAGAATCGTACCATATTACTATGTTTTTCTCTTAAAGTATTTTATTGACAGTGATTTCAGCAAAAACAAGCAGTAAGAATTCATTTTCGACGGACGAAAAGTTTTTTTTAAGCCCTACTTATGGCTCTCCTAGTGTACCAGATGTCACTTAGCTCCGTGATAAATATTGTGAATTGGATTTGTCCTTTGTTCCCTCGTTAATGAAATACGCGAACTCATAGTTTGGAGCGTGAATTGAGTCGGTTCGATTCTCCACTTAACTGTACTGTATTCCCTAATTGAAAATCTACAGTATATACAAGAACACGGTAATGCATAACTAAATATTAGTCAACTGAATATTTAAATTGCCTATTTAAAATTCAACGACATCGTTTCGTTTTAAAATTTTAACTTTATATCATAATATGTAATGGAAAGTCGCGAGCGCACGGGTGCGGTGGAGCGTTCGTGGATGGATTTGATAGTACCCACCCGATACGGGCACGGAATGAATATTAAATTATTTCGCGCATTTATCGCGATCCCGCAATTAACGTCCGCCATGCTTGCCGCCCGCGCGGGTTTAACGACGCGATAAAATTGTCAAATTGCCACCAATAGCGCTTCGTCTGTGTACGCAGGGCCGTGTGCGCGACTAGTTGTGTTGTGCGCGACTAGCCATGTGTGTGGCGGAGGCGAAACGAAGCGCACACACATAGTAACACATTACTGTTAATTATCACCGCAGCCCGTTGGCATCAATAACAGTGCCTGATGGATCGGCTTCGATATCTTTTATTGGTGTCGAAACAATGGCTCGTAACAGCTCTTGGTACACCTATAAACCAACTCGGTAATCGGCGTTAAGTGCAAGTATTAATTTTGCTTCTGCGTTTCGTACGGTGGTTGGCAACGCGCCTGTGTTCTATGGTGTCGTGAGAGTCCGTGGGATGAGGTGGTCCAAAACTATTGAACAGCACATTTAGTGGCCATTTTTAAAATAAAAATATTCTATCAAGGAGAAACCAAATTCATAATGATAATATTATAAAACTAACAGGCGAGGCATAGAAAACAAATTAACAGCACCAGTGTTTTCCTGGACTAGAGGTGACATTAGATGTTCCTTATGAATATATTTTTTTACGTTCTAAAACATAATTGTATTTGGTTTATCATAGTTTTCACAAAGCTCTCCATTGGGTCAACTCAGTTACCTAAGCAAACGCCCCAGATTAACCGTCTTTTTTACAAGCCGTTCTCCTGTGTAAACATACAATATTGTATCTTCGTTGATG